GTAGGTTAGTTGTGTATAGGTTTTTACTGCTTTACTGTATAGGTTTTTACTGTTTTACTTCATTGTTGTATGCCTGTATTTATGTAACACCGTGGTCCTGTGAGGCACGACATTTCGTTCCACTGTATGTCCCCACATGCAGCAGAATGACAATAAAGCTCAACTTGACTTGACTTGACTTGAGGTTATGAGACAGGTGAAGAGCTTTGCTTGCACAGATGCGGTCTGATTTGGGTGTGCTCATTATTGGCAGTGTCACGTCCTGCCCTGCCATGCCCAGTCATGCTTCTCATGAGCTGAAAAGAAAGAACAGAATCTTGAAATGAAAGCAGCCAGACCTATTGAATAGGGTGTGGGCATAAAGAAGTGGGTCAGAAGATGTGTACTGGGAAGACTGTCTGCCCTACATCTAGCCTGTGTTTATATTACCACGTTCCCTATTAATCACATAACTTCTGATGTTTGACACTTTGGAGACTTCTGTTTCTTTCCTGCTTTCTTTATTTTTTTTATGGTTTTTTTTTTGGTCCCAGGGGTGAGATGGGTGGGGAGGGTATTATTCTCTTGTTCCTGAAATTTCCCTTCTTGCATCTCTTCCTGTGTTTGTGTTTCTAAATGAGAATTCTCACTGGTGCAATAAGTGCAATTGGTCTTACTAATCTTAATACAGTAATAATGACTGCATAATGAAGACATTCTGCTGCATGTTGGGCATGTGTTTTCTGCCTCTCCTTTACTCTCCACTTGTTTAACTCTTCCATTTAAAAGAAATAAAAAATTAAATGACATTGTTGGACTTAAAATAGAAAAAATAGACTTAAAATAGAATTTCATTAATACAGAATTTATAAAAGGTCCACAACTTTTTTAATGATATACCAACAAGTGACAATAAAGTAAATTATCATACATACAACAATAAGAATACTCTTTCACACAATCAACTTTTTCCCAATTCACTTTTTGTATCCCATGGTTATAAAACCGATTTAAATATTCTATATGTATACTACAGTTAAAAGGTTTGGGGTCAGTAATTTTTTTTTAATACTTATATTACTTATATTCAGCAAGGAGGCATTAAATTATGCATTACAATGACCATAAATGTTACAAGAGGGGTGCTCCGGGTGCTCCGATTGATCTGCTACCGATCACTATCGGCCGATAAACAAGTTGGGATGATTGATCGGCGGTCTCTAAAAAGGCTGATCTAAAAAAAACAATCTCAAGCTGATGACGCTGCTGTGAGAGGTTTGGCATGACATGCAGCGGCACCGTCTCAGTCTCTGTCTGGCGTGGGTGAAATAATTATAATGCTGAAGGTGAGGTACTCACCTTCATATTTCTTCATTAAATAACTTTAATAAACCTTGTGTGAGACGTAATTTCACAAACCGCATGAGTGAATCACCGCGCACGCTTTTCTTTCTCTCTCAAAATACGCAAATGGCTTCAAATCACCACATCGCGTCTGTCTATAAGCAAGCTGCACGCTGCAGAGTTGACACAGGAATTGTCACTTGCACAATCGAGGCAGTGTCGCATCGTCACTAAAGTTTATAAATTGCATTTCTTTTTTTACGGATTAAAGCGTGCACACTGCACACAGTTACGGTCCGGCAGTGCGTTCAGGAGCGGTGCGTCTGCTGCAGTGCAGAGATTGTTTCTGCACCGAGTCTATTGCTGCGCTGCACGCGCTGAATTAAAGTAACAGCGCATTGTTTGCAGTAAATATAAAAATAGATTGACACGAAAATGTAGTAATTACACCATAAATGCATTAAGGCTGATGTCTATTCATTTTCACAGAAGCGAAGCAGCAGATGTTATAAATAAAAGCAGTTAACAATGTTATTGAATAGAATAGGCTAGGCTATATTAAAACCGTTTTTGCATGACATAGGCCTATTCTTATAGACTACACAGACAAAACCATCGGAGATGCGTTTATGCATTTTTTTTCTATTTTACGCATTAGTAAGCTTAGATGTTCAAATAGCTGCAGTACTCCGAATTTGCCACAAGGAAAAGTGCGTACGTCTGCTCAGACCCTGACGTGGCGGTAAGTACTTTTCCACGTCAAAGACCGTTTTTATAAATATGAACGTTGCCGTGGATTTTACCATACGCACACTCTAAGATCAAATCTGTGCATACGCACATTTTATAAATGAGGCCCGCTGTTCCTCAGGCTGAAATGTGAGTGCGCGGCACGCTCCAAAACGGACAAACAAATTACACTTTAAGCTTCGATGTGTACCGGGGTATTTCTGTTTTTCATTAAGCGCCATCTAATGTCAGGGAGTGAATTTGCACATTCACTCGGCTCATCGCCTGCAAAAATCGCTTGGGTATGAACACAAAAGACGCGTCGAAAAACGATGGCGATAAGCGTGCGCGATAATCGTCCCGGTGTGTACGAGGCTTTAGAATGTGTACACGCATTCCTGCTTTCATTCACAACATGTTTGATTACTTTTGGGGAATTACAATTTGCCCCTAAAATTAAATATCGTTTTCATACCTGCAAATACTGGTTAAATCAGGGCAAGAGATGCTTTAATGGTCTTCAAAGGTCCACACTGATATTGAATCTGTGATAGAAATCCGCTACTGATCCGTGGCTGTTTACCACAAACACAACATTTATCCATTATTTTGATTTCAAATCCAAACATTGGCACTGAAAATGCTTTTTCAGCATTGCAATTCTTTTTTTACACAGTACAGTAATACAAGCTTTCACAGACATGTTTAAACACAATAAGTATAAGCAACACATTATTCAATGATTTTTACTTTTGGATTTACTTTTAGATTTATATATTAAGTTTAAACATTTAAACTACTTTTCTTACGTTATCACAAACTTACCATTGACAGAAATAGTCAGCTCTATTGCCTTTTCTTTTGCATTTAAATCTTTATTATAAGCAATCCTGCGGTTCATAAAGAACGTTGTTTTCCTACCTCCACGAGTGCCATCTATTATTGCCTTGTTTATCTAAAAGTGTTCTTTCCCTTTAAACCTAGCCAAAAAGCCATACGTGTTGACTGTGAAACACAGTAGACTTTAATAATATGCATTTATGGTGTAATTACTACATTTTCATGTCAATCCATGTTCATATTTACTGCAAACAATGCGCTGTTACTTTAATTCAGTGCTTGCAGTGCAGCAATAGACTCGGTGCGGAAACGATCTCTGCACTGCAGCAGATGCACCGCTCCTGGAACGCACTGCCAGACAGCAACCGTGTGCAGTGAACGCTTTAAAAAATACACACCACATACGCACTGCAAATGGAGTAATGTGAACCTGGCATTATGTGTGTGTGC